CTGAGACAGCATAACTGGATATGTCCCCAGCTGCCACTAGCTGTCCTAGGATTCTACTTAATTTCTTTACCAGGGCGGAGGACACCTCCTTCCAGGAGCCCCTAAACCTTGCATCCCAGATTCTATCCCTAGAACCTTGGTGGTGGGGGGACATGTGGGCAGGTATCGCTGTAGATTCCTGTGTTTTAGACTCTGAGCATGACAACCTTGGATTCGGGGTTGAGTTCCATCACTGAAAGAGCAAGAAGCCTCACTCGCCTGTGCCTTGGTTTCTTCATCTTTAAGGTGAGTAAACTAAAGAAGCTACCCCAAAGGCCGGGGGGTGGGAGCTTATAGGCATAAACAGGATGGCAGCTTGCCCAGGGGGCCTTTGTGAGAATTTGGGAAAGGCATTCCCCACTGGCACAGTGGTGAGAGAGTGGCTTCCCCTTCCTCCAGGTGGATGCTGCCTTCTATCAGGGGCTGCAGAGAAGCCTAAAGACTCATTGGTTGGGAGTTATTCTGCAGTGCACACCCTGCACAACTGTATCTAGCCACCCTGCATGTAAAGCACTGGGCATATGCTGACTCAGGACAAACATTTCAATATCTGGCAGCAGTTGTGGACACTGTCATCAGGCACCATCATTTAAATATTTCTGGCTCTTAAAGTCCATCAGGATCTTTAGCATAAGGTAAACTTGAGTTTGAATCCCGTTTCTTCTATGTCTTGGACAAACGTCTTTGAAGAGGTCACTTACTCATCTAAAACCTCAGTTTCCTCATCTGTCATGAAAAAAATAATTATTTTCCCCCAGTGATGAAGTTTCAGTTAGATTATATGCCTACAGGTCCTATGGGGCAAGGAATGAGCCTGCACCCCTACCCCCCCACACACCGTAGCTTTTTCCTGTTAGTACAAGCATCCACGTCAACAGCTAGAGAGAGCGAAAGTCACCCATCAAACCATTTTGCAAAGACGCTGGGCATCCTGAGCTATAGCTTGTTTGCAGACATAAATAAATAAATAAATAGATAGATAGATAAATAGATAGATAGATAGATAAATACACATCATTTTGAATCAGGTGACAGCAACTGAATCCACCCTACCCCCTACCCTCCACCTCAGGGTCTCTGAAACTTGGTGTCCATTTCTGTGAAATCAAAGATAGAGGAAATGAGGATTCTTGCACTAAAAAACAAAACAAAAAGCAGTAAGCACCAATTCCTTTCTTTCCTCCCATAGACTCACAAAGGGATCTGAAAAAAAAAGTCCAATGTATTTGCAAAAAAAAAAAAAAAAGTCCTAGTTAAGTCTCAAAATTGCAAGTTACTCCGCGTCCTCACCCAAGCATCCTACAAAACGCCTCAGCCTCATTGGCTCAAGGGTTGGTGAGTCGGAGAGCACATTTTGTAGGGCAAAGCCCAGAAACCTTGTGAGGCCTGGGGTGTGCACAGCAGGTGAGAACAGGCTCTGGCTGAAGCAAGGTTGGGGTGCGGCTGGGGTCTGTCACCAACCCCACTCCTTCTCACCCTGCAGCTCTCCCCGCTGGTATTTTAAGGAACCCCAGGGCTCTGGGAACACAGGGAGACAGCCCTGGGACTCAGGTCCTGACCTGCTTAAACACTGCAAGGCTCTCTGTGCTGCCACACCCACGTCTTGCCACTTACCCCATCCTGACCCGGGTGTGCGCACGCGCCACAAACAAACGCTCAGAAAGAAAGCCAAAAGAAGTTCCACCAGCCATTAAGGGGAAATTACAGATGCATTTTTTCCTTGCCTCTGGCACATTAATAAAAGAGATGACAGAACGGGAAGCAGGGCGCGCGGCGACCACCCGAGGGGCGGGGCTGCCTAGTGCAGACTCTGATTTCCTGGCCGAGCCCACGCTGAGAGAATCTGTCTGCGGCGGCTGCAGGAGGATGCGGAGCTCATGCATTAAACATCAGGGGGACCTGGCAACCTGGACCGAGGGCCCAGGGAAGGGTGGGAGCAGGAGGCCTCGGCACTGGCTGGGGGTCACTGTGACCTGCCTCACCCGGCAGGGCGATGCCCGTGGGCTGAGACCTCGAGATGGTTGAATGAGGACTTGGGGAAATCACTGGAAATGACAGGGTGGGCGGGGAAGGAGCGCATCCAATGCTGGAATGCAAAGATATGCTAGGCTTTTAAACAGGGGGGCGCGGCACCCTGTGGTCTATGGGGGGATCACTTTGTCTAACAGTCATGGTGGAGGGTGCTCGTGTTCCAAGAACTCTCTGTTCTTGGTGCTGGGGTTGATTCTTGGAGTCAACTGAATGCTGCGATCCTTCACCCTCCATTTATCCGTGGTGGAACTCTGCAGGTCTTCTGCAGGCGCATCCTCTGCTTTGACATTGAACTTGACCAACAATGTCCAATGGCATATGGACAGAAGGAACAGTGGGCTGCTTCTGGGATGAGACCTTAATAGACCTGATGCTTCCACTTTTTCTCATGTACCTCTGAGCCGGCTGTGACAAAAACACGTCCGAGCCAGGCTGGTTGTTCCAGGACAGATGGGTGTAGCTGCACCAGACACAATCTGCTGCTCAGAGATGCCCCAGATGCATTTTTTCCCCAGGGAGTTTGCAGAATAAAGTCAGGTGGGAAATAGATGCTTATTGTGGATGCAACTGAGATTTAGTGGCTGTTTGTTATGCAGCAACAGCTGACTGATACAGTTATAGATGAAGTCATTCATTTTATTCAGGTATTTGTTCATTCAGCAAATATTTCCTGAGCATTTCCATGCCAGACACTTTGATAGGCAGCAGGGATATAATAGTTAATAAGAAATCTGTGAAAATGAGCAGAGATTTCAGATTTATTATATCAAGGATTGAACATCTACTATGTGCCGGGCATGGTAATAAGCGCCACAATTACAGTGGCAAAGAAAATATATGAACCCTGCACTCGTGTAGCTTTCAGATAGCAGATCAAGCAAACAATGAAACAGGAAATTTCCCCAAAGCCCCCAGAAAGGTTGTCTCTTCCTGCGACAAGTTACTGACCAGCGGATGAGACAGGGAAGTCCGCGGGTCCTTACAATGCCAACGGTTAAGCATGGAGTGAGATTCCCACAGGCAGCATGGGCTGGAGTTGGGCACAGGAAGGAAGGAGGCGAGGGGAGGCTTTCAGAGCACAGTATGTGAGCTGAGCACTGAAGGTCAAAGTTTGTCCATGAAGAGAGGAAGGTAAAGGAGGGAGCCCCAGGCAGGCAGAAAAGCAGGAGAGAATATGTTGCCAGAGGCCTAGCAGACTTTTCCTATATCATCAGAAAATAAAGTAGAAGAGGAGGTGAGGGGTTTAGAGGATCCAGAACATAAAGGAGTTTAGGTGCCAACCTAGATGGTTGGACTTGATCCATGCAAGGGAAATAGGGAGCCAAGGAGAGTTTGAGTAGAGAGCATAGAATCAGGTTGGAAGGAAAATAGGGAGCCATGGAGAGTTTGAGCAGGAGAGCATAGGTTGTCATTTGAGAATATTTGAAAGGTGGATTGGCTTGAGTGAGGACAGAGGCAGGGAGGCCAAAGGGGAGGCTGGTTATCAAACAGTCCAAGAGCAGAGGATAGCTGCATTGGGACATGTGGAGACCAGAAACTTGGAATTATGGTACCTGGAATTATACAGCTAAGAAAGGCCCTGGGGCCACTAAGTTTTATCTACTCCTTTTTGCAAAAGTTGTGGCTTACAGAGGGTGAAGGATGTGCTCCCAAGTCTCACAGCAGGTGAACCCAGAGCTGAGGACCAAAACAGAGGTCACTGGTGTTCCCCAACCAAAGCTCACTCCCACTCCACTCTTATTTCCTAATTTCCAAAATTTGATGAAAAGTAAGCACTAGAATAATAACTCCTACCCTATCTCATATCAGAGCCTCTGCCAGGTGCCGGACTCCGTGCTCCCGGTGGTGACCGTAACTTCTCATGTGATCCCACAACATCTGGAGGGGTCAGAACTCCCCACTGACAGGTGAGAAACCTGAAGCTCAGGAGACAAGAGCTTCAAGCTGAGCCTAGGGACCCTCACCTGGAATGATGGTGAAGTCCCCACATACAACCATGGTGGGGGACAGAGTCCAGTGTCCCGGCTCCCAGCCCAGAGCCTGGCACTTTGAAAGTGTCCAGCAAATGACCCTGGAGATGAAGGTGATGACAGTGAGCAAGACCACGAGGACAGAAGAGGCATATCTGTGCCCTGGACACCGCAGTGTGACATCAGGCAAGCCGCTGAGCTCTTGGGGCCTCAGTTTCCCGCATCTGTCAAAAGAAGACTCAGCCAGTGACAGCAGCCCTCCCCAGTGACCTTGTCTGAAATGCAAATTATCCAAAACCCCCAGACAGGCGGGCTCTGAGACTCCCCGGGGAGCCCTGCTGAGCCACCTGTGTTTAACAAGCCCCCTGGAAGGTCTGGCGCAGGTCGAGTTTGAGAACTTCTGGTCTAGATGGACCATTTTATAATGTTTTAGAAGACAGGGGGACTTTTATCAGAATCACAAGAGGCTGGCAATATCAAGCAGATGCAAGCTTCAGAACTAGGCTTGGTGCAGACACGGGAGCACAGGGCTCTGTGTGGGCTCCCCTTGGTCCCCCCACCCAGAGGCTCTGCAGATCCGGAGCAAAGGCGGGGGATGCCGGTGAAGCCCTCTTCGCCCTGCGTCAATTTCTCCCGCTGAGCAGGGCTGCAAGCTCCGCCTCCCTCTGCCCTTCCTCCCGCCTCCCCCCCCCCTCCCTTTCCCCTCCCTCCCTCCTCCCTCCTCCCTCCCAGCCTGCATTTCTGTTGACGTGTTCCACAAAGTATGGATTTGTTGTGGCCTCGCAAAACCTGGTCCATTTCTTCTTCCCTTCCTCCTCCTTTTTTTTTTTTTCCCCCCCTATAAGTAGGTTTCAGCCTGTAATTCAGTTAATTATTTCCCAGAGCACCGGTTTGGTGGCGACAACACAACAAGAGGCAGAGGAACGGAGACAGGTCCTCACAAACCTCTTTCCAGAAAATCTAATTTCATCATTGAGAAATCTTCTGTCTTAAGCAGCCTCCGCCACCTCCATAAATTTGCATATTCTATCTGCCCCGGGAATGCAGCGCGCCCGATTTGCATACTGCAGCTGGAGGGGCTGGCGCTGCTCTTGAACCCCAATGCCGCAGGAGCGAGGAAGCAATTATTAAGCTCTAGACATTGGCGGGGAGCGTGGCCCCGATGGATGGCAGCTCCACACCTTATCCACCGCCCGGCTGCTCATTAGCCCAGGCCCGGATCGCAGGCAGCAGTGGATCCCAGGAAGCCAGGAATCGCTCTCTGGCACCAGCCTGTAGGCAGCCCAGGTGGCAGGTGGGTGCACAGCTTCGGCTTCCCAAGGCTGGTGGTCGGAGCAATCCTTGGTGGGGTTGTCCCTGCCTCGCTCCCTACCTACCCCCAAGTCCCTACAAGACCCGTGGGCAGAGGTTAGCCCACCCCCTGGCTGGCGGTCTATCCCCAGCATCTGAGAAATGCTTCATTTACAGACATTACAGGGGTATGTCACAAAGTCCCACTGGGAAAACGGTAAGTGGAGACAGGAATTGCACCCCGCAGCTGTGATCCCACCTAAAATCCCCGCTTCTCCATCCGTAGGCTCTTTCCCGCTCTGGAACCACGGTGGGACAGTTGTGTGTTCTTAAGCTCAGGGTCTTTGACATGGGGTCCTTTGGTGTTCTGGGATCGGAGGTCACACTGCAGTTTCAGACTCTTTCTGAGCTGTGGGTTTGGTGTCCAAGTGGCTCCAGGACCTGCCACTCGGAGCCTCACCTGTTCAGGGCCCTGTGGGGTGCCAGCTTGGTTCTTCTCCAGCATCCAGGTACAGCAATGGCCCCTTCTGTGCTCAGAGAAGATCATCTAGGCAGGTCACCTGGAGGAACTTTGACCTCAGATGTTCTTGACAGTTTTAAACCCAGTGAGTTCATGAACTGCCCGGCCAGAGATCCACCTGTTCACTTCCACAGGTAAATACCATCCTTGCCAAATGGCGCCAACCACAGTACTAAGCACACTCGATCCAGTTAATTGGCAGAACCTAACACCACCATGCAAATGGTGGACAGCCTATGGAGGACCAGTGGAGCCTTGTCTCTTCCATTTAATAAATATCATGTAACTTCAATCTTTTCAATCATTTTTTTTTCAGCTGGGCGCAGTGGCGCATGCCTATAATCCCAGCGACTCAGGAGGCCAAGGAAAGAAGATCGAAAGTTCAAGGCCAGCCTCAGCAACTTGGTGAGGCCCTGAGTAACTTAGTGGGCTCTATCTCAAAGTAAAAAAATAAAAAGGGCTGGGGATGTGACTCAGCTGTTAAGCACCCCTGGGTTCAGTCCCTGGTACCAAAAAAAAATTTTTTTTTAATTTCAGAGGAAATGGAAATACATTTTTAAACATCAGTTTCATTTCTGGCAGACTCGGGGCTCAACATCAGTGGAGTTCATCAGCCCAGAGATGACCTGTGGCATGAAAATCCCATCCCATGCCAACACTCAAACCATGAGCCACTTGTTAGAAATTTGAAACAGCAAGTACATTGCAGAGAAAATTCTAGAAATTGCATACCTCCATTTACTAACGAGCTGCCATCTCCTCAAAAGACCTCAATATTTTGTCCTCAGCGCTGACTCGAACTGACGGTCTGATTACAAGGATTTGGAAGAAAGTTACTTTTTCCATACAACTGAGTCCAAGATTGACTCACATCTCCAAGAGAAGGAGATTGTTCCTGACCAGCCAAGCTCAGGCTCCCAAAACACAAAGTGGTGATGTTTCCAAAGGGACCCTGCTGGGGCTGCAGAGCTGGGCCTGGGGCTGCAGAGCAACAGGTGGTCTTTAAAGTTGATTTCGGGACTTGGATGGGGCCTCTGTGTCCCCAAGCGAGTCCTTGATACGGCTAAACCTCAGTTTCCTGATCTGTAAATTGGGAATAATGAGAGTACCTGCTTCATTGTTTGATCTGGGAGAATTAAATGAGATGACACTTAGCAATTAAATCCCAGGAAGAGGGCTGGGGATGTGGCTCAAGCGGTAGCGCGCTCGCCTGGCATGCGTGCGGCCTGGGTTCGATCCTCAGCACCACATACAAACAAAGGTGTTGTGTCCGCCGAGAACTAAAAAATAAATATTAAAATTCTCTCTCTCTCTCTCTCTCTCTCAAAAATAAAAATAAATAAATCCCAGGAAGTGACCTGCCCAGAGTCACAGGAAGTAGATGACACAGTGAGATTTGAATGCCAGCGTATGTCTGATTCTCCATGGTATCACAGGCTGCCACCACACGGGTCCCACAGGGACTAGTGTTTAAGAAAAAGGAGCGAGATCCCAATCTGGGCTCTGGGCTGGCTGTTCAGAGGGGTTGGGTCAGAGGTCTTCAAAGGGACATCAGGGTCACTCCCCAGGTCACCTTGTTCAGAAGCAGTTCAGTGGCTCTTGCCAAGCATGAAGACACAAGCTTTCTTCCACTCTATGGGGAAGGCTCAGTTGGCTGGCCACGGGATGTGGGCAGCTCTGGTCAAGGAAGCAGCAGCTGGAAAAAGGTGGGGGGGGGGCGGCTAAAGAAACGAGGGGCGATTGTAGCTTGGCAAACCTCCGACCAAAGGGAGTTCTTGGGGCTGGGACTGGGTCCTCTGGTGGCTGCCCCCGACTTCCACGTTGTGACCTGGATCAGCCATGCTTCAGGAGAGGAGGTGGCTGTCCACCCTGTGTCCCTCCAGTGAAGGGGCAGCCTCCAAGGACAGATCCAGGGCACAGTAGCTAGGGGAGACGGCTCAAGGTGCAGACCCGAGGAGCAGCCCGCAGAAAGGGGCTCAGGCGGCAGCAGGCCCTTGCCCAGCCTGCACAGGGCCCTGGGTTCCGCCTCCAGCGCTGCCAAAATCAAATAATCAAGAAGAACATTGCACGGGGTGGCATCAGGAAAGCCCATCTAATTAATAACCAGCAGAGCTGCAATTGCTTGTTGAGTGTCCGCTTCTAAATCTGCGCACGTGCCAACTCGGTGACTCAGACACCCCCCACCAGGACACCACCCAACTCCTCTCTGCACAGGAGGGCACGTGCAGCCCCCTTTGGGACCCCTGAAACTGAGAACGACCCAAATGTCCAGCAACAGGTCATGGATAAATTATATGCCATGACCCCAGAAAGGCAGACCGCACCTCAGGGTTGGCAGATGCCCCCCGCGACCCAGGCCCGTCACTCCCTGTCCTGCACATAAAGTTTTATTGGCACACAGCCGCGTGTGTCCCTTCATCCGTGCCTGTGGCAGATCCTGGCCCTCCCAGCTGCATCAGCAGTCGCCAAGGAGACAGCGACACCCAGGACGCCTAAAGCATTTGCTCTCTGGATGTCTCCAGAGCAAACCTGCCAACTCCTGCAGCAGAACAATGAAAGTAAACAGCCCACACTGTTCCTGAGAAACGTGGGCGATTTCCACAAACACGGGGTTGAGTGCAAGAAGATGCCACCGATGAGGACCTGTTGCACACGCAGATTTGTATCAAGTGCAAAGTCAGGAGCACCGGGCGGCTCAGTTGCCCACGGAGGTCGGGCGCGTGGGGGCGCTCGCGGGCACCGGGCTGATTCCGACCCTTGATCCAGAACGAGGTTGCCCGGGTGTGGGGCCTGTGCAAAGTCCCCGCGGGGGACACCGAGGACGTGTGTGCTTTCCCACACGCACGTGTTCATCGATAAAACTTAAAAATAAATCAAGAAAGGAAACCGGGGGTGGATCTGGTGATACCAAGTATTTTCTCGTTGTATTTCCTGGACAGAAAGCTCCAATAACAGATTGTTAAGTGAGAAAACAGAGAACTTTAACTTTTACACATGAGCACACATGTATTCATTCGTTCTGCAAATGTTTATTGAGCGCTCACCAGGCGCCAGGTGCTGGGAACTCGGAGCACAGAGACGCAGCTGGGGCCTCCTTGGCGCTTAGCTTCAGCTCCTGTGTGCGCATGCGCGGTGGAGCTCCCCGGGTGTGTCCACCCACGTTCCCCAACGCGGCCCTGCAAAGCCGTGGGCGCTCTGCATCCAAGAGCTGTGTGGCTAGGTGGTGCCACTCCATAAGTCACCGCTGTCTCCCTCCTTCTAGGCTTTTGGGACTGTTGACGGCGCTCAGTTTCCCCAAAATCACACAGCGGAGTCCGAGTCTTCAGAGGTCCCAGGACCTCGCTGGGCGGAAATCTACAATTTAGCCTCCAAAGTGTAAGGGATCAGACCACCTAGTTTTCTCATAACACATCTGGCATCACAGACACGTGGGGCTCAGCCAAGGGTATAGAGTGTAGGTGAACCTGAACCTAAGGATGCCCTTGAATGTCCCATGCACCTTCTCCTGGGCCTCCTGCTCTCGATTTGTCTGCCAGACTCCAGCACAAAGACTGTCCTTCCTCCAGGCCAGCTTCATTGCTGAAATCTTCTCCCTGAAAAGGGAAGGCGGATCCTTTTCCTGTGGCCTTATCACTTAGACAAATTCAGCTTCTTAACTCTATAAAGTTGCTGCATGACCCAGCTTCTGCCCACCACTCTCTTCCAGGCCCATGCTCATTTCCACCTCAGGGCCTTTGCACATGCTACTCTCTCTTCCTGGAGTATCCTTGCCTGGGCCCACAAGCCTAGTTCCTTCCATTCCTCTGGACCTTGGCACCGCTGTTTCGTTCTCAGAAAAGAAATTCATTCAGCCTCAGTAAGACAGTCTGTCCACCTACCCCGTCCCCTGTCTTATGTGAATTCCTTCAAAGAATCCATCACTGCCTGGGATCATCTCACATAGAGATGAGCAGGCCACGGCTCCACCCAGTGCCTCAGAGAAGCTCAACATGCAGCCAGTTTAGAATGTGTTGCATGAAGGAACAAATGAATGAATGGATGGATGGCTATCTACACTAGAGTGGCTCATAATGCAGCTCCATTTCTGGGGTGCCCACCCTCTGGCCATCCTGAGGCAACCCCAGAACTGGCAGCAGCTGTGGGCTGAGCTGTCTATGGAGCTACACTGACCGGGGTCCAAGGGATCCTCGGCAGCAACAGTGCCTACTGCCTTGAGCACCCACCACAATTATTGCTGACCTTTGGTCATTATGGTGCCCTCCTTCCCTCTCATCTCCCTGACCCCTGAGAGATTCGCCCTGTTCATCCTTGGTGGGGGGGTTCTCAGGCCTCCGGTGGATGTGGGAGTGGAATTCAGAACACGGTTTATTTTCTTCCTCTGCCTCCTGAGCTCCCTGTTGGAACCCCAGGTTAGGACTCTGGCCCTCCCTCCTGAGTATTTCAAGAAGGGGACCCATGGAGAGGAGGGGCCCGGGACATTGAGGGACGAAGGCACCTGTTCAACCTCAGCTCTAACCTTCACACTTGCTGTGGGTGCTTGGCCCCATCCCTTTCCCTCTCTGGATCTTGATTCTATTCATCTTCAAAATGAGAAGACACTCCGTGACTCCCCTGATGCCGTGACGTGTTAGGATTCTTCAATTTGGAATTCCTCACGAGTAGACTGTGCAGTTTTAATGTGGAAGAGTCAAGCAGCCCTGAGTCCTCGGATCTTTCTTCATTTGACGCACTCTCTGTCCCTATCACCTCTGATTTGTGCCTGTTCATTCTGCAGCCATTCACGCATTCAGACGCCCAGCCAAAGATTCCTCAGACGGCAGCTGGGTGACGGCATGACGTACCTAGCCTGTGCCACTCCACATCCCTGTTCAGGGAATGACAACCTCTCTCTCTTCCCCAGAACTCAGGGGATCGAGCTGTATCATACCCATTTCACAGATGAGGCCATTGAGCCCAGCGCGGTGAAGGTCTAGTTCAAGTTCACGCAGCAAGTGAGCAGCCGAAGCAGGACGCACACCCCAAGATGTCTGACCCATTGCTAGGAGGGATCCAAGCCCGGAAACACTCATCTTCTCTCCCCTTCCTGAGAAGAGATTCCTGGAGTAGCATTCGGCCGTGGGCCACCATCTGTCATCAAAAGTAGAAGCGCTTTAGAAAGACAGTGACCAGTTACAACGCCAACCAAAGTATTATGGCTGATGCCCCAGAAGGTTCAGGAACCAGGGTCTAATTAGTGCCACCAATTAACGTGGCACCCTGCCCTGTCTTAGCACCGGGATGTTCTCAAAATCAAGGAGACAGACGACCCCGGGTCGTGCGTGAAGAAAGAGGCTACGCATCAAATACCATTTACTATGCTAAGCAGATTTCCTTTTTCCTACAATGTGCTGATTTTGAGACATGGA